AAAAAAAAAAAAAAAGAGTATCCCAGTGATGGCAGAAGAAGAAAGTCTGAGGAATTGTCACAGATTGGTGGAACTAAGGAGATATGACAACTCCATGCAATATAGGATTCTGGATTAGATCCTGGGCCTAAAAGGTACATTAAAGGCAAAACTGACAAAATTGAAATAATATCTATAAACAAGTTTAAAATGCTGTAGTAATGTATTTGTCCAGTTTCTATCATTTTTCTATAGTTTTGTAAACTGTTAACATTAGGGGAAGCTGGGTGAGAGTGTAAGTAAACAGTACTATTTTTGTAACTTTTCTTTAATCTTACATTGTTCCAAGATAAAAAAAAAAAGAGCAAGTAGCTATTTAAAAAATCTACAACACTGCAGTTAAAAAATCTACACACTCAGAACTTTACAGAAGTCAATCAGATTTACTAGAAACACTTAGTTTTCTAGTGTTAATTCTTACAAATGTTTATATTGGTTTAGCTTCAAATGAGAGTCCATTGATGAAAAGAGGAGTGTTATTCTCCTTTAAGAAACTACCCATTCTAAAATTATAATGATCACTTTTGTATGCAAATAAGACAGTATTCATGCCACATAAATGAATTCATACTGCCTCTTCCCTTACTCAAATTGGATAAGATATCTTATTTCAGGGCACAGTGGTATTAAGTAGGGAGGTTATTTGATTTGGGCTTTGTCCCTTGAAAAGCGTAGTTGTATTTTCCAGGTGTCATTTTAATTTTCAGCCAGAAGATAATGTGACCTGCAGCAGTTCCATGAAAGTTCTGGGTCTGAGTTTGCTTTTTCAAGGTGTTGCCAAGTCCATAAATGTTTACTTTGAGCTTCCTGTGCGTCTCAACATGAGTCAGATCTAACAATTTAAAAAATACGTTGTTTATGCCAACTAATTTACCATGCAAATGTGTTTTTTTAAAAAAAAGAGCGTTAGGAATTTAAAGGAAAATGTTGGTTTAGAGAGAAAACCAATAATTCATTAGTCTTACATCTTTTGAGAAAATAAAATCCTTCATGTGAGCCTTTGTTAACTTTCTCACTAACCTATAGTAAGTCCATGTTTTTTGATAGTTCTTAGATATGAAGTGCTTTTTTTTGGTAATTGATAGGCAATATTCAGTCAGTGGTAGGTTTTATCTATATAGGGAACAGAAATAAGCCAATAAGCCAAATGTATTTATTAAAAGATTCAATCATACTGACTTCCATCCCCTTACCAGTCCCCTCACCCCACCACAGTGTCCTGGCCATATTGATTGTAGTCTGCCTATTCTGTGTGAACAACATCAGATGGTGTCATCTAATTTTAGGAATAACACTGACATCTTCATGAAGAAAAGACACATGGGGGAAAAATGTCTACTCAGTATTTGGGATAATCATTCAAATAAAAAAACAGTGAAAATTATTATGTTTATTTGGAGATAACACAATTTATGACAAACTTATATAAAAGTTAATGAAAGCTCATAGAAATAAAGTCAGAAAAGCTAAAAGAAAGCAAGAAGAGCCTAAAGAGAAGATAGAAAACAACACAGAAATATTTATTTTAATTCTTGATAGAGATAAAATGGCCTAAAAGAAAACCTTGCTTTTTAACTGGAGAATGAATACCAAAACTGGTTATTTTGATTATAGTCACATTATTTGCCCATTATTTATAAATTGCAAAAAACTGCAAAAAAAAATGATGATTACAGTTAATATTTGTCATATGTTATTTTAGAACCCTAACTTCTTTGATATAGAATATTTGGATGGCTATATATGCTCTTTAACTTTTTTCACTTTACATTTTATCATGAAGATTGTCTCAACTACAAAAGGCTCTTAAGTGTGATTCTAAATGTTTGCATAGTATATTCTCTTGTATAATTGTACAATGATTTATTTATTTTCTTTGATTTGATTTCTTAGGTCAGTTCCAAATTTCATTATTAGAAATATGACTATGAAAAACCTCCGTGTTTATTAAAATTCACTAATGTTCAACTATTTCTTATCTAAAAGTAGAATTGCAAGGCAGGCACAATTGAAAGATTTCTGATACTTAATTGGCAAATTGCCTTCCAAAAAGAGAATAGGTCAGGTGCAGTGGCTCACGCATATCATACCATCATTTTGAGAGGCCGAGCAGGTGGATCGTTTGAGGTCAGGAGTTTGATACTAGCCTGGGCAACATGACAAAACACCATCTCTGCAAACTATCCAAAAAAAGTAGGTGTGGTGGCACGTGCCTGTGGTCCCAGCTACCCAGGAGGCTGAGGCAGGAGGACTGCTTGAATCTAGGAGGCAGGTGTTGCAAAGAGCTGGGGTTACGCACTGTACTCCAGCCTGGGTGACAGAGTGAAACTTCTGTCTCAAAAAAAAAAAAAAAAAAAAAAAAAGATAGCAATTTATATTTCCATTATATTTTCAGCCCTGGTATATAGGAGTATGTGTTTTGCCAAACACTGGCCAGCTCTGTAGAGACATGTTAAAAAATCTATGTCACATCGATTGTTTAAAACTAATATTGTACTGTTATTTCAATTTACTTTAAAAACTTTACAGTTGAACATTTTTCTTAATATGTTTATTGGCAGAGTCTTTTCATAATTGTCTATTTAATCTCTTAGATCTTTTTAATTTTCAGGCTTGCTGAGAACTTATGCATCATTCTGTAAAGTGCTTTACATATATTATCTCCTTTCATTTGGATGACTGCTGTAATTGGGAGGTGTTGAAAGTTCCCATTTATAAATTGGAAATAAAAGTTTACCATGTAACTGACCCCAAATTATAGAGCAAGCAGCAAGAATCTAGAACCATTATGTCTCTATCAAAGAGAAAAATCACACTGGACAAGATGGACAGACAGAAGTTGATGTTATTGCCAACAATAGAGGAGAGACCACCAAGTGTAGATTCCCTGTTCCAGTAAGAAAAAAAGTCTGGAGAATTTTTAAGAACTAGGGTAGGGGGCTGACAGGTTACCTGTGTTTGCTAATTCTTTTGCCCAAAGGAAAAGTAAATGTTCTTATATCTTCATGGCAGGAGGTAGTTTGACAACTTGGAGCAAGGCTCCAGTCAAAGTTGGCTTCTACCCTCTCATAGAAGCTAAGAGAAAGGGCAGTATCTTCTGTGATGATTACATTTGGAAGAGTTGGTTCCCAGATCCTTGAGAAAGACAGACAGCCATGGGTTGTAAAACTGGCAAGAGGCTTTAAAAATCTTTACATCTCAAAAGGGCAGAGAGAGAATGTACAATTAAATTGCTCTTACCGCCCCCAACCAAAAAAAATTGCTCAAAGGAAAGGAAGGTTAGGATCTAGAGTCAGGAAGAAACCTGAGTAAAGTTTAGTCAAGCATTCATAATACATTTTGATATTCAAAGAAATTAATGCTCATTCGTCATAATTATTACAAATAATTTTTTAAAAATATATTTTACTTTATAATTTAGTAAATTTTATAGCACTAGCAATCTATAGTTGTTATAGAAAAATGATAAAACCTTCAGTGACAAAAACTATACTAGTTATGTATATGAGATATATATAAATGTATGTGTTATATGAATGAACAAGACTTTTTAAATATTATTCCTTGTAAACAAACACTTCTATAATGTCATCCTAAATTTCATCGTGACACTTTATCAGTGTTTAATTATTTTTAAGCAAACTTTACTGGTTCACATAGATTGGTGTCGACCTAGTCATAACTGTGTAGATGCCACATGCTATTCCAGAAAAAAAACTTTAATTTTGCATAATAACGTATTATTGTTATTCTTTATTACATGCAACACTGTACAAATAGATGCTTATCTCCTTACAATGGGGTTACTTCCTAATAAACCTGTTGTAAGTTGAAAATATAATGTCAAGAATGCATTTAGTAAACCTAACCTACAAAGCCTCATAGATTAGCCTAGCCTACCTTAAACATACTCAGCACAATTCCATCAGCCTACAGTTGGGCAAAATCATTTGGCAGCATAGTACACTGCAGACATCGACTGTTTACCCTCATGATTGCCTGGCTAGCTGGAAGCTTTGACTCGCTGCTATGGTCTAGCATCACTAGAGAGGATTGTAGAGCACATTGCTAGCCCAGAAAAAGATCAAAATAAAATTCTAAGTAAGGTTTCTACTAAATGTGTCTCACTTTCACACTATCATAAAGTAGAAAAATCAAACCATTGTTTAGTTGGGGATCCTCCGTATATCGTGGGTAATTTGCATGTAATCCTCTAAAGAGCCCTAAGGGTAAGGTACTATTTTCATCTCTATCTTTCATATAGGAAAATTTAATCACAGAGATATTAAGTTATTCCCCTAGAGTCACACAGCTAGTAAAACAATTCTGCAGAATAACTTTTAATTAGTAAGCCTGCCAAACATAGGTCATACATTAAATGAAAACAGCTGATTGAAAAGTGATAAATATGATAAGATCCTATTCTTAAAAAACTAATTTAGATAGATCTATAAAGTATAAAAGGTTACAAATCAAGATCTGAACAGTGCTTCTCTCTGTTGATAAACATTTTGTTTTCTCACTTTTGTTAATTATTATTTAAGCATGGAATGCACTTATATTTATTTTTGAAAATGGATGATTGATGAATCTTCATTCACTGAATACTAAAACACAGCAAATTTATATAAAACAAACCAAGAAAGATGTACCTAGAATATGAAGAGTTATAGATTTATGGACACCATCTGCTGCAACTTTTTCAGTATTTGAACATTTAAGAAAAAAAATTAAGCTCTTAGAAGCTTTGAATATGATGAACAAGCTTGATCTAAAATATGCGTGAGTTAGCTCCCTACAATGATCTGAAATCTAGACATTCTCTAGAAATTGCCTCTTTAGCCAAAGAGGATATTGTAAGTTGCACTACAAACTACTTGGTGATAGCAAGGAATATTTGGTTCAAAATTAGGCATAATGATTCCCATTGCAACGTGTCTTCATTTTATCATAGACTTTTGTAATAAAAATATTTTTAAAAACAGATTTTTCTTTAAGGAAAAAATAACAATGCATTAAAATATTTGATTTTGAATAGGGTGTGGTTTCCTAAGGAATTTGAATGACACTGGGTAGTCTTTGAAGAATCATTGATGTTTAGGAATACTTTTGTCTTCTGGGAGAAGAATGTTGGCATTTTCAGAGTTAGGCTTCAGGAAGAACACTCTATCAACTGCATGTAGGAGGAGAAATTGGGGACCGGAATACCACACAGAAGATCATGATAACAATTGATTAGCAAGAGGGATAATACGTGCTAGGACTTCAAAGCAGATGAAAACAAATATAGGGCAGAAGAAAACTAGGAAGGATGCTTAGGGGTGCCGGGATGAAGGGAAAGGTAGGGAGGCACATCATGGCACCAGGTCCCAGGAAAAGGTAGGGTGGCACATCACAGCACCAGGTCCCAGGAAAACGTAGGGAGGTACATCACAGCAACAGGATTTCAGGAAAACGTAGGGAGGTACATCACAGCAGCAGGTCTCAGTAAAAGGTAGGGAGGCACATCCCAGCCCCATGTCCCAGGGAAAGGTAGGGAGGCACATCCCAGCACCAGGTCCCAGGAAAAGGTAGGGAGACACATAACAGTAACAGGTCCTAGGAAAAGGTAGGGGGGCACATCCCAGAATCAAGTCTCAGGAAAAGGTAGGGAGGCACATCCCAGCACCAGGTCCCAGGAAATAATAGGGAGACACGTCACAGCAATAGGTCCCAGGAAAAGGTAGGGAGGCACATCACAGCACCAGGTTCCAGGAAAGGGTAGGGAGGCACATGCAAGCACCAGGTTCCTAAGAAAAGGTAGGAAGGCACATCCCAGCACCAGGTCTCTAAAAAAAGGTAGGGAGGCACACCCCAGCACCAGGTCCCAGCAGGCTGATTTTCATTTAAAGTTTTGATTTTAACTTTCTCAAAATCTATGTCTATGGGTTACAGTTTTCTAGTGATGGAAGGAAATAAAATAACCTAAAGAGATGGTACTCAATTTTTATATAACTGTATTTACTCTAACTCTTGGCATGCACCCTTATCTTTCTCAAGTGTTTTCCCTCTGTTCCCACAACTCGGATCAAGTAAGAGGCGTCTGTGCTAACTCACTTGACCTCATTTGCGTGACTTCAATATCTCAAAATTCTCCCTTAACATATTCTACAAAGGTTATATCAAATCTCTATCATAATTAGACTTATTTCAGTTGGTATTTGCATTATTTTTTCTTTTATTCAAATAGGTCAAGCTTATTGGATGACTAGTTTCCATTTAGTTAGAAGAGATTTTAGGAAAGACAACATCTAAGCTATGATCTGAAAATGGAAGAGAGAGAGAGAGACAGACAGAGAGAGAGAGAGAGAGAGAGAGAGAGAGAGTGGTCTGCTTTAAGAACTAAATACATAATTATGCAGAGTTGAACTAATTGAAGTATAGGTTTTACAAACCAAAGAGAAATAAATACAATGAATACTAAAGTATTAATTAACAAAAATCAATTAAGAAATGTATTTGTCTTTAAATTTTAGATTTTTAAGTTGAAGTTCAAAGTAAATCACTGAAGCCATGCCTACTGATCTAAAATTATCTGGTAGTGTCAGCAAAATAAAATTGTATTTACATAATTATGGGTGATACCTCATTGATATAACTAAATAGGATTCAATAGCAGCATTTTTCAGTAATTGAAACAATCACAGTCCAAAAGAGGTTGAAAGGCACTATGAATAAAAGAGTCAGTTGTACATCATTAGAAAGATTTAAGTGACACCCAGTTAATACTGTAGAATTACACACTTTTGTAGAACAGAATATATTTTGAGAAATGGATGAGAAAAAAATGGATATTAATGACAGGGATCTGTGGGCAGTGAAAAGGATTGAAGTCAAATGACATATAAAAGAAACACCACATGTTTCAACAGTTTGTGTGTCCAAGGTGGGCGTGTGGAGAGTGGGTGGGGGTTATGGGAACTCATCAACACTCCAATATTGAGGGATGACAAAAGGGAAAATACACTGTGTCTGCTATTTATTTGTGGGATAGGAAAGAGGAAACAAACTCAGAGTCCATTGAGCTCCACGTGCTTTGCCTCATATCCATTTAGAAAGTCCAGGGTAAACGTAAAACTGAATTGACTCCCAAGTCTCCTGACTACTCTAATTTTATTTTTTAACAAAGCCAGAATTCTCAATGGTTTTGGGTCTTTTGTGTGTGTGTGTGTGTGTGTGTGTGTGTGTGTTTTCTCTCTCTCTTTGTTAAATTTGTGTCTGACCTGTGTCTTGGGTTTGCAGTCAAATATGTCTTCCCATCATTATTGCTCACTTTTTCTAGTAGCTTGACTGCAGTGGCTCACTACGGGCCTCAGATCAGCATCACACCTGCTGCCATTTATTTAACCAATTCATATATCCTTTCATATATGCCACCTACTGTGCTAAACACTTTACAAATTTTAACCCATTTGATTGTCAAAGTAACTTTATGAGGGAGACAGGCAGTAGTGTCATCAATCACCCACACTTTAACGATGTGCAAAGCAAGGACTTGAAGCTTGCCTCATTTCCCACAGCTGGTAAACACGATTCAATGTTGTGTTCGCACTCCTGAGACTATGCTCTTCACCCAGCTACTCCGTTTTCTCCCACATCAGCATTCCTCTCTTAGATGCTTTAAATTAAATAATTCCTCCTGAGCCCCAGAAGAAAAATGTTTTAAAAATGCATTCAAATTCAACTGGTCCAAGTGGTTCTTTTATTTTTTCCAAGAAAACTCAGTACGCTCATATGACATAGATATTCTGTAGCAACATTTGCAAACCTCTGCTTACCAGTGAAAAGCAAACTTTGCAGTTCAAGACCTAAGTTCATGAAGAAATTAAAAACACATGAATTATGTGAGATTTAAATCTTTCAAATACATTATCACGTTCCTACTTTAAAAGTCTATTTTAGGTCAAATGATATATGTATATGTGTGTGTGTATATAAATATCTCTCTTACACATGCATACCACACACACATAATATTCTCTCTCTCTATATATATATATGTATGTATGTAAATATATCTCACACACACCACACACAATATTCTCTCTATATGTGTGTGTGTGTGTGTGTGTACGTACATATGACATCACAGAATATTGCCAGGATTATTATTATCAACGCTGCAATGCTCAGTATTATTTAAAAAATCATGGTGGTCTGGTACAGGTATTGACATATTGGTTGTAGTTGTCTGATCTTTCCAGCAGCAGCTGCTGGGCTTTTAGATGGAGAGAAGCCTTTGCTGCCACATCAGACAATAGTTTTGTGACAGATGTTTCATGTTCGATTGAAGGAGCACAGATGAAAATAACAGTCCCTCCATGCTTGTGAGACCACAGTTGAAAATGAGCAGTTGTCCCCCTTCCAGACAACTGCCATCAAACCCACAGAACCTTGAAATAATTTGCAGCCTGCTCTGCACTAAAATGAGACTCACATAGTCCATGAGGCTGGCGAGCTGTAGTCTACAGAAACACAGAAGAGTCCATTTTCCTTTTCTGAAAATTCAGCTGTTACAACCAATGATTGACAACTAATGATAAAAACTGTCTCGAAGATTTTGGTTATTTGCTGTTTTCAAATTTATACATATATATGTGTGTTTCTATATACACATATATATGTATAAATTGTTATTATGTATACATTTTAAAAAACAGATAATTATGACAAAAAGAAGCCATTAATAATCCTAGTAGAGATAGCCATTGTTAACATCATGGTGTTTGTCCTTCCCCATACACACACACACAAATGCCCTTTTAGCTATAAACATATGAGCTTAGCATACATAGTTTTATAACTTCATTTTTTCAGTTTTTTTGTAAAGAGCAAGATAGCAAATATTTTAGGATTTGCTGCCTAGATAGTCTCTGTCACAGCTGCTCAAGTTGGCCACTGTGTGGTAAAAGCAGCCACAGACAATGGTTAAATAAATGGGTGTGGCTGCATTCCAATAAAACTTTATTGACACAAATAGAAAATGTTCCAGAATTGGCCTGTGTGTCATGATTACCCATGTTGGCCTATACTGTTATTTTAATGGCTACATAATCTTCCATACTATGGAGATGGCATGATTTATTTTAGCTTTTTGCTCTGGTGAGATATTCCTTGTGCTTTTAGCCTTTTGTTATATCTATCTGTCTATCTATCAATCAATCAATCTATCTATCTATCTATCTATCTATCTATCAATCATCTGTCTGTCTATCTATCTATCTATCTATCTATCTATCTATCTATCTATCTATCTAAGCTTCTGGCCTGCCAAGGATTCTACTGCAGTCATGTTGCCCAGTACAGTGGCTAGTATACCAGGGGGCTAGCTTTCCTGCCCATTAACAACTCTTCCAACCTGATTGGACTTCCAGGCCTTTTCCTTCCTTGGTAAGCCTTGGATTACCTCCATTGATTGTCTCAAGTGTATACCACTTTATGAGAGAGATTGATTCAAGACATTCTTTAACTGGTATGCTATTTTATTATGGCCCTATCTGCACCAATTTTGCAGATATTCTGCAAATTTTTCAGCCTTTTTCAGCTAGGGTTTTACATAGCTTAGAAGGTCAATGAAGTTTATTTCTCATATTCTCACATTTCCTGAGTCTTAAGGACAGGAGGGAGAGTCAAACATTTGTCTCTGTACTCTTCCTGAAAGACCTGTCCATTTAGTTTTTCAGTCCATGTTTCTATGCTAATGTTATTTAAATGTGCATTATTTGAACTGTGCCTCAGTGTCTGCATTACTGCATTGAAAACGATAGGAAAAGGTTACCATAAAGTGTCTCTGTTTCTCCTTTTTTATTTCTAACTCCATTATTCTTTTTGTTGAATACGTTAATAGAATTGTTTGGCCTTTTTTTTACATATCTGTTTGTTTTGCAATTTGTATTATCTATGCCAGGAAATTCTGGGTTTGAAAATGAGATCTTTTGTGATATTGAGTTTATGGCTAGTGTTTTCATTTTTGTTGTTTCTTGAGTCATGGTTTGTGTATTCTACAGAGATGTAGAGTTCGCTTAACTGACCCCAACCCCCACCCCCATGCCCCAATAAAGCATAATTGGATAGAGGCTGCTACCAAAAACAAAGACAAAAAACAAACCAAAATAAAACAAAACAAAAGAATGGAAAAGAAAACAAAACAGTTTGGCCTAAGAGACAGTAGGTCTTTCAGCAAACTTTGTCAATGTACATGGATTGCTGTGGTGATAGCTGTCAGGAAGTAGGAGTGACAGAAGAAAAATGGGGAGATAAAATGGCATTTATTTCTTCACTTACATAGTGTGGATTAAGAGACATTTTCTCAAGATAACAGAAGAATACATACAGGCTTATATATGTTATTTAAAAGGACAAACATAAAAAAGAAATGCCTACCTACAAAACTCACATGAGGAAAGGAAATATGGTCAAAATTCCTCAAATTAAAAAGGGCTAGTCAGTTGATAATATTTGAGCTAAAATTTAAAAAGTCGAGGTGTTAGTCGATTGTTTACAATTACAGCAGTAACTAATGTAAGAATCAAAACAAGATGGAATGGTGCTGAATATTGAAACTTAAATTGTAAAGCAAAGGTATTGGTATCTTTCAATTTTTGTGTTGTGTTACTCTTTATCATTTGGGTTTTTTAACATGAATCTGAATTTCATTTTATTAATGATAAATCCCTTTATTTCATACCAAATATTTTATTATTATTGCTCATTCCTTTCAATCCTTTACCTATGCAGAAGCAAATAAAATGTTAAAACTATCTATAGATAAAATTATATAGATATATAATTATATAATATATAATGTATATTATATATTATATAATATATCTACAAAAATTTTAGCTATATTTATATCTATAATTATATAGATGTATATTATATTATATATAATATATAATATTATATATTATATAGCTGTATATTATATAATATATAATATAATATGTAATTATATTATATATTATATAATATTATAATATATAATTATATATTTTTATATATAATATATAATTATATATTATATATATTATATATTATAATATTATACATCTAAAGAATTATATCTAATTGTATACATAATTGTATATTACATAATTATATATAATGTATATTACAGATAATTATATATTATATGTAATATATATACATAAAATTATACATAATATATCTATATATAATATAGCTATTATAGACTATTATAGATATTAAATAATATTGTTATTATAGATATTGCATTCCAGGATGGTCAACAAGAGCGAAACTCCATCTCAAAAACAAAAACAAAGGTGTCCTTTCTTGTTTTCCAGAATAAAATTGATTGTCACAGGTTGATTAATATGTATTGAAAAGTAGATTTGACTGAAGTCAGTGGATTTTAGCAGAGAAGACATTTATAATTTATATTTCCAACAAAATAAAGGCTTCCATACACTTCTTTTGATAGGGAAGAAGAAAAAGGTATAAATTAGAACAAGCATTATTATGTTAATATATCTATATTATCTATAAATATATACTATATATAATATATCTATATTATATATCTATATGATATATTGTATGTATTATAATATGTTATATATTATAATACTTGTTATATATTATACTATGTTATATATTATAATATATGTTATATAATATAACATATATTATAGCTCTATATTATATATTAGATATAATATATAGCTATATATTCTATACTATATAGAGATATATAATATATAGAGATATATAATATATAATATGTAACATATTATGTGTATCTATATGTAATTATATATCTATATATCTATATATTGTGTGTGTGTAATAGAAGTGACATATATTGTGTATGATATAAACATTGAATTATTAAATTTTAGAAACAAGCACAAATCCTAAACATTACATATCATATATATCATATACAGGGAAAATATCTGATGTTTTTTAATGTATGTATAAATTCCTGAAATATGAAATATTGGATGGATAAATATAATGAGAAAAGCACAGCTGAAAGGCAAAAATGTAACTAGTCATTCACATTTCAGAGAAAATTTCAGATTGGTCTCTAATTTATTTATATTCTATCAAATTTTAGAACTCAATGTAGACTACAAAAATATAGAAAAGCAGCATATAGCTATTTTAGAAAAGTATATGAAATAATGAATAGTATTTAATTTTACTTTTAAATGATTGCAAACATTTCAACTCATTAATTATAATTTACTGGCATTTAACTTTTTTCCCTCTATTTCATTACTTTATAAACTGATTGAGTGGAGGAAAAACAGCATATTTCAAAGTCAGGGTCAATGTATTGAACCTATCCTCAAATATAATTGTTTTTCACATCCCAACTTGGAAAGGTATCAACATCACAGAAAATTGCAATGACTTTATCACTAATTGGTCTCAGGTTAACTGCTTTAGGAAGAAGAAGAGAGAGATATTAAAGATTTATAAGCAGCAAAAACTGAATAATCATTTGAATACTAGAGGCATCACATTTGCATAACATTTTGGGATATGTCTGCTCCCAAAGTCTCAGGTGTGACTTAACAGAAACTATTAAGTTTAGGGTTTTGCAATGGAGGGTCAATTAGCAATATCCAAAAGCCATGCTAAGCTGCAGTAGAGCTATTGAAAGAGGTTACATACCAACCTGATATAAGCCATTGTTCCTGCAACTTGTGAGGTTGTGTTTGGCACCTTTTAGATGCCAAAGTATGCAAAAGAACACAAAATTTTATTTCGGTTTCTTATACATCACAAGGCAACACATATTAAAATTCCTTTAAAAATATACCTTTGATTTGGTAATTGCACTTAAGATAGTTTATCTTCTGTAATTAGAAAATTAAGGAATGGAAGACAACATTAAAAAATTGAACCTAATTATATATACACAAACATCTGGGATTGGATTCACAAATTATGGTACATTCATACAATGAATAACATGTAGACATTAAGAAGATGTAAACGTGGACACATGGTCATAATACTTGGTTACATTTAAGTGAAATGTAGGTTACAAAATGATGTAATCCAATATATTCATAAAAATAGATGTACATACTATTATTCTGGCTTATGTATGCCTTCAAAATATTCTATGCTGAATCAGTGACAACAATTTCATTAATATATTTTTTAAAGTTTAAGATGTTCCAGGATTATTTTATTATTAAAATATAAAGTAGATAATTCTGATTGTATTGTTTAAATGTGATACTTTGCACATTTCTCAGAAACTACAACATCAACCTTTTTCACTTTAAATTTAAGGTATCACATCAAAAACTCATCTTACCAACTTTTAGTAGCATAACAAAGCAATGATTTTAAGAGCTCTGCAGTAACACATGGATATGCAATGAAAATTTTAAAACATGCATTGACTTTTAGGGCTATGCCTGTTGAATATTAAACACCTGAAATTGCTAGTGCCTAAAGCACTTCATTCAGCAAAATGTATATAAACTTTGGAACGGTTTTAAAGGCACAAGTCTTAATAACCGAAGAGTAAGGTTGAGAAGAAAGTTAACCACAAAATTGTTTTTGTATAAGCAACTTTTTAGCTACTACCTATATTGAAACTGAGATTAGTATTTTAACATTTTGAGAATTTAAATTAAATTCAAGCACACCTCTTAACATGTTCCTAAGAGTCTCAAAACTGTTGCAATTTAATTTTTATAAATTAAAATTTACAGCATATAGAATTTGTGTTTATAACATAAATATATAAGAAATTTGAAAATTTAATTTCTGTATATCAACAAAGAAAACTAGATAATTGATGTTTTGGTGTTCAATTAACTAGTTTGGGTTTAGAAAAAATAATCGAACCATATTCTCGAATAATTAAGATTTATGTGTACTTTCTCAACCTCAGCTTATACAGTACAACATTCTCTGAGTTTAATGTGCATTAAAATGTTTGTTTTTCTCATACATACACATGACATGATCCTCTATGGTGAATTAATCTACAACGAATGGATGAAAAGATTGGCTAATTTAGACTCTGCATAATTCTTGGTATATTATAAAGGGACCTTAAGTGACATTTTTTAACAGCATTAAATGTACCATAATATTTTAAGAAGTTTTGGATTCAGAAAGCCATTCACTTGAACCTTGGCCACACTGTGGACTGTGTGATTCTGAAAAAGTTAATCAATTACTCCAAGCCTAAATTTACTTATATGTAAAATGGACATAATAATACCAATTTCACATGGTTTAAGAGTAAATGAGATAATGTAAGGAAAACACTGAGCCTAATGACTGATCACACACTAATTGCTTAGTACATGCTGATTAATATATTAACTCAATTATTAGCTATTGGGGCATTAGTACACAGAGCTGGTAGCCATTGTAATAAATCAGAGGCAAGATAAATCCCCCCCGCCCCTTGCTTTCTGTTTGACTCCTATGTCTCAAGTATTTTTTTCAGGTTTGCAGGCTGACTATTTTTTTTGCATGTATTCTCAGTTGTTTTATGGATGAAAGAAGTTCCATTGAAGTGGTCTAGATGAAGGACCACTAAACACAATACCTCTTGCCACTAAACACAATACCTCTTCTTTCTGGATTCAGGAACTTGGCATTCACTTTTCTTTATAAGATAAAATATTTATAAACTATACATGTGATAAAGGCTTAATATCCAAACAAAATCAGGAATTCAAACAATTCAATAGCAAGAAGTCAAATAAACTGATTTTAAAAATGGTCAAAAGACCTAAACAGATGTCTTTCAAAAGACATACAAATGGCCAACATGTATATGAAAAAGTGCTCAACATCACTAATAATTAGGGAAATGCGGAACAAAATCCCAATGAGATATCACTTCATTTCTGTTAGAATGACCACTATCCAAAAGACAAAAAGTAACATGTATTGGTGGAGAAAAAGAAACCCTTGCACACTGTTGGTGAGCATGTAAATTAATACAGCCATTATGAAAAACAGTATGGAGGTTTCTCAAAAAGTTAAAAATAAAATGATTATATAATCCAGCAGTCCCACTACTGGGTTTACATCCAAAGGAAATGAAATCAGTATATCAATGAGATTCCTGCGCTCCCATGTTCACTGCAGCAGTAGTCACAATAGCCAAGATATGGAATCAATCTAAGTGTCTGTCAACAGATAAATGGATAAAGTTAATGTGATATATATAAACAACGGGATATTATTCAGCCATAAAAAGAAGGAAATCATGTCTTTTGT